TTGACTTATCGAGGTGTATGACAGCTATTACTAAGTTTTTCTTTGCCAATGATCTCTGGTAAGAAACTGGAAATGGTGATGGGAAACTGAATGACACAAACAAGGTGTGACATTTAAAAATAAGGCTCAGATTTTTTTCGGTCCCATTGAAGTGCCTTTATTAAGAGACTGTCTCTTTTCTCAAGGACACAGGAATACAGCACCTTGGGACAGCCACCCCCATACAAACCAATGGATCATGAATTTCCTTGGCCTTCTGAACACGGTCAGCTAAGTCCATACATATTGGAGCTTCCTCACAGAAAGAGCTGGAGGACTTTTTTTACTTCTAGGATATCTGCTAGACATATTCTTACTTACTTATCCAGCCTTCTACATTAAGACTCTGATATCAGACTCAGATAGTGAGAATATTTAAACTGATCAACATAAAGATGGATCTATGCGATTCTTCTAGAGTGGTTTCAGAACATCTTGGCTGGTCTACACCTAATGCGTAAAACAAGCACGTACATGCTAACGGTAGGGTTCTGTGAGTAACAGTATCATCAGAGATGATGGGAAGTGATTAAACAGTATGCCTGGCCAAGGGAAGAGAGCATTCCAGGAAAATTACTTCCAAAACTAGGGAATAACATGAATATTTCAGAGAATGGATGTGGAAGTGGCTTCTAGCACAACTTTCAAAGAGTTTCACTATTATCAGAGAGAGCTTTTTGCCAATAAGTAAAATGAGGGTATTTTGATGCAGATTTTGTTCTTTGCCATGACACAGAGACAGAAGAGATTTATTTTTTAACTTCTAACAACATTCAATGGTCTGAAAATGGTTAACTAATGATACTAAAATATGTATTTAAAATGTAATTCAGTTCTGTAATTATATTTCTTATGCACGGAGACAGAAATAAACTAGAGGAAGAACCTATTAGCCCTTTTGCATGTATAATTGAACACGTTTGATATTACTAGGTAACCTTTGTACGTAACTGGCTTTGAGTTTATGCAAAGAGGTGAACACTTTGAATACATAAATAACAATAAGAGCAGATAGCTTTTTTGATTTTGTATTCTGTTCTTTTCTTGTTTGCGTCTGTTAGATGCAGTCAGACATCCCTGGCTTTATCCGGCCATCCACAGAAACATCTGAAAGATCTGACTTTTGCATTATTTGGGTGCAGCAATGAATAAGAACTGACATCAAATATCAATATTATTGGCCCAGCTAAATGGTAGCTGACATCCGACTGGACTGCTGAAGAGGTAAACAAAATTGAAATTTTGTTTTTGTTTAAAAACTGTCTGACATTATTTGTCCTTCAGTAAATCAATGGCAGAATGACCTAAATGCTGTTTACATTTTGGCTTGGGGAGGTAGAATTGGGTTGCTATCAAGCATATTTTTAATAGTCTTTTAGATTTTCCTAATGTAAAATGTAATTCCAAAATACTTTTCTGTTTTAAGGGAACTCGGTAACTTCTGTAATGAGTTTTTAACCTGCAGACATCATACAAACACAGCATTGCAGAGACAGACAAACACAGGTGAATGATAAATATACACTTATTTGAACACAAACACACATATACACACACATAAGGGAACAAATTTTGTTATACTTTAAATTCATAATGATTCAACCAAGCATCTATAGTCTTTATACTTCATTAGCACAGGTGATTTGCCAAGCTGGGAAAATGCTGTGCAAAGTACGTACAAAACATACTTCAAATGCTATTTAGGCCATACTTAGATTTTACATTAGATGCCAGCATTCAAGAACAGATCAACCCTTGTATGAATTCTGCTGTATGAAATGGCATTGTTTTCCCCTAGTTGTTGATCAAAAACATGTACTAATGTAAAAATGTTAGTGGTTTGATTTTTCATCTTTGCATGAGTTATACAGATGCATAATGTCCTCTCCATTAATTATCCACAAGACAGAAGACGAGGGCCAGGGTTGACTTGGACAGCCCTGCCTTGACGTCTAGATGTAGGAACTTTGGTAGCAACGGGGCTCCCTCCACCGGCTTTTGCCCACCATGAGCCTACATTTGTGCAGTCATATGGAATCCAACAATTAAATGGGGTCAACTCAAATCCTGGTTACATTGAAAAACTGGGGAAATTACTTTGCCTCTCAGGTACAGTCTCACTTGGGTTTCCCTAGAGTGGGTATCTTTGCTGTCCCAGGTAAGGTACGTTCACACATATCTCCTACTGCAATCAGAGCCTTTGAAGAGAATTAGAGCACACACAGTAGCCTCTACAAAATCACCCTCACAAGCACATGTCACTACTCAAAGGCTTAGCCCTGGGTGGAAAAGAAACATCTGAAACATTTTTCTCTACGAAGTTAGTTGTGTTTTGGGGACACGGGGGTAAAAGGGATGGTAACATTAACTTTTAGGAGGAAAGACGCATTTTTCTACATCTTCAATTCAAAAGCTATATGGATTTTGCTCAAATTTTCCCAAACTTTCCACAGGCAGAGAAGCAACTTGGAAAATGGCAGAACTGGTACACTGCTGAAAGTGTTCTTTTAAGTCCCGACATAACCACAACTGCAGAAGTTTCTACCAGGGCAATGTGACTACCCGCCAGGTTCTCCACAGAGCTCGTGTCCCAGCAAGGCAGCCTTCAACAAATGGCCATGTTCAGGTGCCAAACTGGCAGTTATGTTCCATAGAAAAATGGCTAATTCTGGAATCCGAGCACTATTAAGAGTTCTGGCTGTAAATGTTGCCCACTTAACAAAAATCTATTAACTACAGTTTCAGAAGCATGATATAGTAAATAACTCAGATTTAATCAGTTTCACAGAGTTTAATGAGGATTTATTCAATTTGTATAAATGCATTATTCTTATTTTCCTTCCTCCTCATACAATACTCTTCCCCTAAAATATCCTTTAATTTTTGGACACGCTCCCTGGCTGGCTCTCTGATCCAACTGGAAAATTGGTTCTTGTATTTTCTCTACAGGACATTGTGTAATTAGAATTTCATGTTGTTTCAAAACTCCTTTGGGAGCTGCCTGAGACGTGACTATCACAAGCCCAATAAAGTAACTTAGAATCCTACTTAAACTGACCTATATCCTAAGCGGAAAAAGGAGTGAATCTCTTGGAATCCTTCACCATTATAGCACTGCACCCTCAGAGTGTCACCCTATAGACAAGACTTCTGATAAAACATGTGATCTGCAGACCTGTGACATTAGCATCTAAAAAAAAAATATTTAAAAAAAATAATCCAGGTACAATTCTGTCAGCAATCAGCCTTCAGTTTTGCCATTTCAGACTTAAGAAACCAGACTTTTCCAACAAATCTTTGCTTGGCTACAAAGCTTCTTTGACCAGGTCTATGCATTAGACTTTCTGTTGGCCACTCTGGACGTGATGTTGCACCTTTGTCCAGTCTATGATCAATGTCCAAAATCTTTCCCATGAAAGTATTGTTGAAAATACTGATGTTTCTATAAAACCTTTTCTCTTCATAAAATGTGCATCTTTTAACAAAAAAATTGTCATTCAAAACACCTTAATCAGCTTGCTTAGAGTGGAATATTTAATTTTCTTCGTGGGCAAGCACTAGAGGGTAAGAAAACAGTTCTCTGGTGCTATATTTAGTTGAAATATAGTACTTGCTTTGCTAGCCAACCAATGTGACAACTGCAACTTGTACAACTCGGGACCAACTACTTAGTCTTTTCAGTAGTTTTGCAGCACATACAGAGTTAATTTATATAACTGCAATTGCAGCTTCTGAAATTATATTCCTCACTCAGTTTAATCAATGCTGCACTAGATGTATCCATTTTTACTAATTCAATCATTGAGAATGTCAGCCAATGATTTTAGTCTAGAGTTTAATGCCAACTATAATATTCTTTATCAAAATAACATGCTTATCTGAAAGATTATCAGCACACAGTCTTTCAGCTTCCTGTTAATCATTATCGGTCACATTAGAGCATGAGGCTCTTTGTAAATACTCCCGTTAAAGACAGTGATATAGTATTGCCATAGTATTTCCCTCACAATTCTTACCACTGTTAAATATTCTTTGTTCTATACCACAGTGTTTCAAAATACTGGGAGGCAGGTTGTGCCTGTCAAATATACAGATACATGCACGCAGCCAAGAAAGAATTGAGATGCCTTGGGAATTCCTATTCCTCTCCTTCACATGAGCTTATCCCACACTTTCTGCTACATTAACCCCTCGAGTTTGCCATGTAAACACATAGGGTTGACATACGCAGTTGTTAAAGCAGTAGCTGATACTGAACAATTCAGGATCTCCTACAGTAAAACTTCGTACCTTGCGCTCTGCTTGTAATGAAAGAGGCAGTGAGAGCACAGGGAGCAGGAACACCAGTAAGGTATTTTTCAGGAAAGACAGTCCCCGAGAGAAAAGAGTGCAAGTGGTAGCAGAAACCAGCACATGCCTCACCACTTCCGCATCACTTTCAAAGCACAGTGTGGCCAGGGAAGCTAGAGGAACCATACATCACAAATGTTTTGATCATTTCAGAATATTTCTTGTCAACCCAAAGAAACATTTTGGAAAAATTGCTTCCCTTCCAAGGCTAACAGGCATTCAGATCACAGTCTGTCATCATTCCCAATCAAAATTATTGTTTTCAGACAATAACTATAGAATTAACCATCCAGGAAAAAAAACTAACAGCAAATTTCATTTACGTAAAGTAACTAAATCATCATGACAAAGGAGAATGGCTTAGATATCATGCACTGATCAAAGAAGAAAGGAGGTAGGTGCAAGGAGGGGGCAGCTTTATTATAACAGTCTCTGGGACTCTGCTCTGGCTAACAGGCGTGTGCCACACTGAACTGCTCTAGAAGTCATTACCAACACTGAATTCAGCCACGGAGGTATCTATTTCACCAAAGTGCATGACAGTATTTGCCAGAGCAAGGAACAATTAAAAAAAAAAAAAAGAAATTCATACGCAGAACCGCAGAACTTACCTTCATGTTAAATGTAGCATGAGTACAGGAATGCAGGTGACCACAGAATGTGTAAACACGGAGACCCTAGGAATTAAACATAAAAAGAAGGCAATTAAATAAGTTATAGCTATATAAATTATTCTATACCCTTGTAAATAGAAAGACCTTGAATTTATGGCTGTGTGCAAACCAAGGCACTTTTTGTGCTAAAAAAACAGCTCCTGGTTGCTAGAAGAGGATCACATTTCTCACAATTATTAAGGATATATAACCTTACTTCACATAATAGCTAGCAGAAAGAGTGCATGCAGGTAACACCAAAAAAAAAAAGCCATCTCCCTTGCTGGAACGTTTGAATGAGAAGGTGTAATCATTGCTTCCAAAAAGACTGCTCTTCAGCAGTGGTTCAGTACGTGTCTCTCGATATTCCACACACACCATTAAAGTCTTCCTTAAGGAATCACAAGCATGAAATCAAAATTAATTATCTTTTGTCATCTTCCGCATTAGGCCGTAAGTGACCTACATAGTGCAGTAATATATGTCAGATGTCATCACTGATATCTGACTTGCTCTCCCAGTGCAGGAGGCATCCAACCACAGTATCTCCTGCTAAAAACCTGAAGTATTCAAGACGTGAAGACAGAGGTATTAAAAATAGGTGCACTTCTCTGTTTCATAAAAACCACTGGCTTCATGGGTAACAGTAACACAAATACTTTCTATTAAAAGTGAAACCCAGCTTTGAACAGTGTAATCATATCCTGAAGAACAAGTTTTCACTCTAAGAAAACATTTTATTGACACTGGAATTGGTAGTTCGTTGCATTTTCTGGAAAGATGAAAAAAACTCAAACCAAGATCTGAAATTCCTCTACTAATCCTCGTAGTCCTCCTTTGTAATTATTCCAGCTTGAACCAATCTCTCGGGAGCCGTGGGAACACGGGTTAATCATACCTGTGTCATGCTTTTAGGGTTTACAATACCATTAGTCTATCTCTGTTTTTATTTCTCAATCTGAAAAAAAAAATTTAAAAATCCCTCCTACCCTGACATAAGGTATTTGAATTCTCTTTTTCACTGACAAAACCTCCTACATTTGTATCATGCTTTATCAGTATATTCTTACTGTTTGCAACAAGTCCTTTCAGGAAAGTAGTTAATGAGGTTTGACCAGAAAGTAATTCTGGAGGGACACTACTCAATAATACTCTGTAGTTCATATGACATCTGTGAGCCATTTAGGAGAACTCAGTCCAACAAAACAGCAGTTAAAAGGGATTAGGTTGCTGCTGTAAATATCTCAGGGGTTAAGAGCGAAGAGGGAAAAGAGCTATTGAAGCTGAAGAGCAGTGTTGACACAGGAACATATGGGTATTCATTATCTGCAGATAAATTTCAGTTGGAAATTAGAAGACAGTTCTCAAACAGTGAGATACAAAAGCTCCCCTCCACTTCAAGTAGTAGGGATAAAAAATTATTATTAATTCTAGGAAGCTGCTTGAAAAGTCTGGAAATATATGGCCTTCTCCTGCCTGTGATCTTTTGCCTGACCTTGGAGACCAAGGATACTCTTTCCAGTCTTGTTCATATGGCTTTAGAATACAAATCTCTGATAAAGCCCAGCATTTAGTGCTTCACAGAATTCCTTTTGTTCAAAAAAAAGTCACCAAAAAAGAGCAGCAGGCTACTTTGGCAAGCACCCTTTTGTATCTTACTGTATTTTTCATTTACCTTTCTATCTTAAACTAGCCTCTGCTTCAAGGCCACATATACTATTGAGACCAGACTAAGAAATTAGTATTTTTCCTATGGAAGGATTGCAAGATGAAAAAAAAAAAAAAGGTCTCCAGACTATTACAAGCAATCCACTATCTTTAAAGAGCAAGCACACCATCCACTCTAAGCATAGTAAGGTTGCCAGAGTGCAGTTCTCAAGTCCTCCACAGTTTTCAACAGACTTACATAGGAAAAAAGTGCTAAAAAATAACCCATCCCAAAAACCTGTATATTTACATGATTTCTAAAACATAAAATATGCACCAATAAATCCTGATAAAAAGAAAATTTAAATAATTATTATCAATAATAAATCCACAGTTGGAATAGAAATGTGATTACAGAAAATTCCCCAAGATATGACAGATAAATTAAATTTAATAAAGGTAACATAGTAGGAGACAAAGATAACCAAACACATATGAGCAGTCTAGCAAGAAAAAATTTCAAGGACATAAAACCTATCTTGTGGCCTAGCAATTGTACCTAGCCCATGGTAACAAACCAAATGTTGGGGCATGTTTTGCGTGTAAAAAGTAGCCCTTATAAAATAACTGCCGTTGCTCAGCAGGGTGTTTTTACCTGTGTGTATTTACTCTCAGACACTCTCAAATACCAATATATACACAGTAACCTTTCCACAAATACAGAAAAAAATAAAACACAAAAAGCCCAAAACAACCCACGTGGATGCCATGCCACAAAAAGAATGTGAACTTTCTGATTTCCCTTCTGTAAGTCAATTCAGTATAAACTATTTGATGATGATAATAATAGTAATAATAATACCACCACCACCACAAAGGCAATGGTTCTGTAAAGTGTTTCTCAATACTGTTGCTGAAACTTAATTTCCAAAGTGCCACTTCATTTTTATTCAATGCACAGCTAGTGTTTTCTTTACCAACAGCAGGAAATCTGAGTTTTGCAGACATAGATGCCATAAAAACAAAACTAGAAAGCTTACTATTTAAGGTGTAATATCCCAGCAAAATCAAACAGTAATGAATATTCTCTGGATCAGAGCTCATGTTACAACAGCACTGAGCTTTTGACATCAAGAGCTCAGCAGTAAGTTAACGATAACTCTTTTGCACATGCATTCTGCTTTTCAGTCTTTAATTAGAAAATAATATACCATAACACCACCAGGACCGCTGCTTCATTCAATGTGGAACTGGACAGGATGTCCGCATTCCAGGCTTAATCTCCCTTGGAGTGAAGTTTGGAGCATCTCTTCTGCAGGGGAATTTCACTGGGGCGCCTTGCAAATTGGTCCTCGGCTTTCTAACAGCTTCTTGCCATCCAGGGACCAGCTGAATGCATCTGCCATTTAATGGAGTTTCTTTAAGGTTCGAGATGAACAGGGACAAACAGCTGGGACTCGTATCACAAGGAAAAGAGCAACAGGAAAAAGGAGTTTGTCTTAATGTTAGGGGAGTTGCCAGTTAGGGAAAATTACGCTCTTTGCTGCTACCTTCAAGGTCTCACTGACCATTACCCCACTGACAGAGATAACACTATCACAAATCCAGAGCAGGAGAAACAACAAAATATCAGAGCAGAACTCTGCAAGCTGTAAAAAGGCACATTTTTCCACATTTAACCCATGGGGTCTATGCAGTCTCCTTGCATATGACACTCTAGCAGTATGAAGGGCAGGAAATTATGGAGAATACATTATTATTGTTAACTGAGTCACCAGGTCTTGATTGAAATATTAATGGCAGAAATCTCAGCTCTATTCACTCCTTGAGCTACTGCCCAATTACATTAATAACTGTATATTCTTCCTCTGCAGAAAATACACAGATAATAGCAACATTCAAAGAAAATAAAATATGAAGTGTTCTGCATTGGTGTTTTTTGTTGGGTTTTTTTGTTTGGTTTTTTTTTTTTTTTAAATAATTATTCACACATGCACACACACATATAATTTTCCAGTTTGAAACCCAGGAATTAACATTAGAATCAGCAGTTAGAAACACCATGGCATTATGTTACGGAGCCTATCAACCTCTCAGCTTCCAGTGAACACAGACATTAATTGCCTGCCTTGGACTGGAGCTATCTAAAAAAACTTCAGAAAGAGAAAACATTTCTTTTTTTAAAAGGCAATCCAGTATTTTAGAAAAGCAGCCTGACCTTTGGAACTATGGATCTGTGAACAGTAATCCTGTTGCAAAAGTAGTTAAACCAGGAACCTAAATTCAAATTATTTTTTGTTCTTACTTTCACAGGATAAAAGCCCGAGATTTCAGAATCAATAGTGAAATTCTGCTGTAAATCCTCCCTATTGTGTCCATATAGATATACAAATACTAGGGCAAGGCAAGACAGGCTGAAGACAATCATAATTAATATACTACAGCTTCTTTGCATCAGTAGAATTAAGTTCAGCCATTAACTATGTAACACAGCAGTTGAATCTTCCTACACTTATTTTAATTACCAGTTTAGCAGCAACAACAAAAAAAAACACCCAAACCTAATAAGCCATAATTGAAGCACCTCCAGAGAAAGCACACAGCCAAAAACTGCTGAGGATCATTTAAAAAACTCTGCTGTTTTCATTATTTTTCTGGATTGTGAATGCCCTGCTATCTTACTTTGCCAAGTTCAAAAACCAAGATAACAAATCCATTCGATCAAGCTGGGTGTAATATACTAGGTGCAATATGTAATTATCTTTATTAGTTTTATATAATATGAGCTTTTAGATAACAACATCCAAGTATGAAATTTATCTAAACAGTGTTTAGATAAGAGGTATTTGCCATTTCTTGGTTCATTTAGAAATTAACTCAAAGGAATATGTTCATTCAGAGGGACAGAACTAAGAGGTGTTCAACCCACGAAGCATTCAACAGTGGAACTGTTCCCCTCATTCTGTTTATTAAATACAAACAAAACCTCCCAACAGTTTTTCATGAAATGTTTCATTTTATTTGGGGGAATTAAATGTATCTTGAATGAAACTTCTGATCTTACACAGGTGAATCTTTTCCAGTAAGTCAAAGAATCTAATGCTTAGGAAGCTCACTTCACTAAGCTTAAACTTTTCCTAAAGCAAGCCTCATGGCAAGTGTAGCATGATTACTGGCTACTGCCGCATTGGGGAAGGACTAACCTTTCTCTCAGTCTCCCTTGCTGAACATGGCCAAGGGCTCTCCTTTTTACCACAAGGTGCAAAATTAAAAGCGTGACTCCTACTCAAATCCTTGCCTTATTCAGGACATGGTCTGTCTGCTCGGTTTACCTGCGCTTCACATCAGCGAGGCACTAGCAAGCTCCGAAGGAAACG